AAATATTATATTGAAATGGAAACAGCTTTTCTTGATGAACTTTTTTGAAATTCAAACAAATCAGCCTATTTTCAGCGATTAGTTTGAAAAATTTAACATTATTGACATGTAGCGAAAGTCAGGTGACGACGTGACACCGAGCGAGTAGTCAATTCTTCATATATTTTCAAGCAAAACGAATTATTATTTCAAGTGTTTTTCCATATGATGCCGACTTTATGGATGACACTGTATACGTCCTTTCTTTTTGCTCAAATAGCTTTAAAGCTTTAAAATGAAACTCGGAACTATACTAAAAAAATATAATTTTGAACTTGGCATTCGATGACGCACATGCACCAAAATGAGTTCAGTTTCAAAACTATTCCTACTACACATCTCCATCAAAAAATATATATTTTCTTCTCATATCTGGAACCCAGATCTTGTGAACTGATGCCAAATGTTTCCTCAAATTGTCGCTCCTCTTGCACACATAATGACAATGACTACATGGAAATTTTGCAAAATTGCCGCACTCGTATTTAGAATGACGTTGGAGATGTCTACGCCTCATGTATTTCTTCCCACATGTACTGCATTCATTTACTGAAACATATCATCATTACCATTCTATAATAATTCTAAATTCAAAGCATGCTCGTTCAACTCATTTGAGTACACAGAGAAAAAAGTCACTGACCATCAGTGAAATGTTAATAAAGACAACGAAAAACTTTAATATTTGGTCAGCGTAGCCTCGTGATTGAAGCGTCAGTATTCTATCCACGTTAGATTGCCGTTAGGTGGGATCGATTCCCACCACGACCGCAGAAACTTTTCTGGTGGTCTAAGAAAGTGTTTGGGATCACTCGTTGAAAGGTAAGACCCCTATCATTCTCTGCTCGCACAAGTTTCTTGAAGACTTTTGACAAATTCGGTAGGTATATGGCTTTTCATATTCGAATAGGTACATTTTTGAACAGTGCCATTTTGTACATTATAACCAGTGTTGTGCAACTTTTATCCTATATTTATTAGGCTACTGAGTAAATTTTGATTATTTTCAATTTGTTGATGAAAGGCATCATCTTCGAAAATATTTGTTGGGGAGACATATTGGTTGTACTTCTCTCGTGATAATTTTGAAAATATGTGAACTGAGGTAAACATTTTTTGTAAATATACCGAAACGACTCTATGTCAATTCGAAACAGATCTATTGATTTTTTCTCAATACCACATAGATTAACGACGAGAGCCGTTAATCTATGTCAATACTAAACAAAATGGAAGCCTACACAAGTCAACAAGATTATAGTTTATTCAGTACTCTTGGTATTCCGAAGTTATTGATTGTTTTTGATTTAAGTGTTCTAGTGAAATGAGAAATGAAAGCAATATTATCTAGAAAAATTTGTATTAAAATCGTAAATAAGATTATACGAACATGAGGAATCTTATTCTAGGAAAATGTAAAAATCACATTTTATTATTGAGTATTTCCATGTCTATAAGGCCTCGATTGATACATCATAACTATACAGATCCGTTGGAGATCATCAGATAATTCAAAAATCGAATATAAAATATGTTTTGTAAATAATTGTATACAAGATATAGGTAGGTAATTTTCAAAATAACTATGTATCAAAGCACATACAGAATATCACTTATTTTATTCTACAGGTATGTGGAAATCACATTTTTTTCTGAGTATTCAACTTTCTATAGGTATATTTGAAGCCTCAACTATTTGATGATTAGATATGAATCAATTCGATCTCATCAGAACCATCAAAAAACAATATATTCTTCTTGGTTGAGGAGAAAGCATAAAGCAATCATCAATCATCGCGAACCAAGTAATATCAAGTGAATGATTCAAATTTATTCCACCGGAAGACAATCTTTTGCACATCTTCCCAAAGTTTACGCTTTTATACAGGGTGATTCATTAAAAATGGGCACTCTGAACAACAGACAGTAAACACAGCCCAGCATGCTTTATCAAAATGTCGGTTTAGAAGATACAGGTAGTGCGAATTTCTCAATAATTTTTATGTTGTTTGTGTTGGTAGTTATTGTTATTATCAACTACTGTACTTCTTTTACTATCACTTCGCTAATTTCATAATTTATGATAAAAAAGTGTATAAGTGATGACTACACAGATCTCTTCAAGAGCGAATAAAGCGAAAACCGTTATGGCTTAGACAATTCGAAAAAGGTTACATTTTCTAGATAACATTGAACAGGCTTCCAGATTTTCATCTTATTTCAACCAATATTCAATTGACAAATAAGATAATTATGATGTAATTTACTGAAGTAACAGAGTGCCACTAGAACTCTCTATATGAGCAATTACAAAGTCACTATCGAATTCGTATTCCTCATGTCAAATAACCTGAAACTACAAAATTTTATGTTCATGCTGGTGAAACTTACAAAGTTATTTTGGGAATTACAAAATAAAAATCACCCCCTTGAACATCCTGTATCTCCTGAACCAGCAATATTTTTTTATAAGGCATGTAAGGCTGATGAGGTGTTTACTCTGTTTTCCAGAGATTTCCCATTCTCAATGAGTCACTCTGTATATTCATTTTGATCTCAATCTGGTAAAATAAGCTTTCCCATGTCTAAATCCAAGTGGAAGTGATTGGCTGTTAACGAGAATTTTATCGACAGTAATATCATGAAAGAATAAATCGAATTCTATACAGGGGTTTCCATAACTTATCCGCAGAAAAGCAACAAAAATATTATGTGGATACATTTGTGTGTTGACAAACGTTAATTGACTGAAAAAGATTAATTTTGTTGAAAGTGGGTCTTAATTTTTGATACTGCAGAATATACAAACCATGGTCAGGAGAGACATAAAACAATCACAGACGTCATCACAATGCCATTGATTGAAATGTTTTATACGTGGAAATAATGGATATGTTCTAATTAGAAGTAAAAGCGTTTCAATCTTCAGAGAAATGCATAGCAAGCAACCCTTATATTATTTGGGAACTAGGTTCATACTCAAATTCAGAAATTCTTCATTACTTCTTTTTGAATTCGATATTTACAACCGTTTTGATATTATTGTATTGAATTAAGATACACCATCAAAATTCAAAACCCTTTATCTTTCTGATAACTAACATATTTTGATCCTCATAAAATATATCATCTGGCGTTTGCTCTTCATGACGAAAAAGTTATGAGACATTATGGCAATCTTCTGCACAGTAAAATATAAAGAGTAACTTATCTATATAACATACACGATTCAATACAGGTTAGGAATAAAATTATTGGCATATAGGAGTTACATGCCAGATGACCAGCACGAAATGTAAAACAGAAATACGCGATGGATAAATATAAAGAGTAACTTATCTATATAACATACACGATTCAATACAGGTTAGGAATAAAATTATTGGCATATAGGAGTTACATGCCAGATGACCAGCACGAAATGTAAAACAGAAATACGCGATGGATATACTATTATTCAACTGGACAATATACAGGTTGTCCCACTCACCATGCTCACCATGGGTATCTTTTTAACGGTGAGAGATACGAGGTCGGTTAAATGACACCAAATGTGGAGTTTGTCAAGGCCAACTATAATGTGAAAAAATATTTTGATAAAATCTATTCGTTTTTGTTTTATACGCAAAAAACAGATTTTGATCATTTTCATGTCTCCTCCGTAACTTCTTCATTTATGAAAATATTCAAATAGGAATTTCACATTCCCATGGCATTTTTTCAAAATGATTTCGTAAAACATATGGAATTTATACCAACTCTTCTAGAATTTGAGATATCAGCACCATCTCCCACTTCTGGTCGTCCGATTAACTTGAAATTTGGCAGGGGTTCATAATTTCGGTGACAATACATTATGGAATTTTTGTTGAAATTAAAAAAAAATGACTGCTCCAAGATGGCGGACAAGATTTGGTCCGATTCCATTCAAAATTGTTGAGTGGGTGTTTTTGAGATCGGAGATCATGATTTTTTTGTTAAAATTTATAAATTCAAGATGGCGGCTTCCAAATAATTTTTCGTTTATGTATAAATGACGATAACTCCGTTGTTATCAACACAAAACTATCACTGCGACATATCATCTGTAACAGAAAAAAAAGTAAAAGTTATTTGTAACTAAGTCATAGTGAGCTATGACCTACATTTGAAAAACTAAAGTTGATGCTGATATCTCAAATTCTAGAAGAGTTGGTATAATTTTCATATTTTTTCCGAAATCACTTCGAAAAACTGCCATGAGGATGTGAAATTCCTTTTTGAATATTTCCATAAATAAAGAAGTTACGGAGGAGACATGAAAATGATCAAAATCTGTTTTTTGGGTATAAAACAAAGACGAATAGATTTTATCAAAATATTTTTTCACATTATAGTTGGCCTTGACAAACTCCACATTTGGTGTCATTTAACCGACCTCGTATCTCTCACCGTTAAAAAGATACCCATGGTGAGCATGGTAAGTGGGACACATATATCTGGTATAAGCATCTGAGTCGATCCTCTGGTAGTGGAGTGAAGTTAATAAGACAGGAAGAAAATCTTACAGTCGACTGCACCAAAACTATACCTACTTCATAATATAACATTGGAATTGGGACATGTTCCGACACTTCAAAACTTCATGATCAGCAAAAATTATTCGTTACAGAAAGTACTACGATAAGGAAGACAAAAAGCTACGTCAGACAAGCATTCAAAAAATGAAAGTCGAATAATCCTCACCTATTCTGGGAAAAAATATTGTTCATCATCATCTTATTGTAGTACTTCCTGTAACAAACAATTTTTGCTGATGATGAAGCTTTGAAGCTTTGAAGCTTCGAAACATGGTCCAATTCCAATGTTGGATGGAGTATAGTTTTGATGGAGTTTACTGTAAGATTAACTTCCTGTCCTAATATCTGTATATTTTGTGCTGAAAGACTATACGTCAATTTCACACTAAATCTGTGTATTAATCATTTCTGCTTTCTTTTGAGCAACAAAGCAGAGCAGAACACATTTTGCTTGGCATTATTGTCGTATTCAACCTCATTCTTCATCCTATTATCCATTTTGATATTAACGCTGGAATAATCGATGCTTCTATGCATCCTCTCCAAATGTCTGGCCATGTGCATCTTCTGCTTGGCCTTGTAATTGCAATAAGGGCACTTGAACTGAGGCTCTTTTCCGCACTCCCATTTTCGATGATTCCTCAACGAACTCTTCAGTTTATAAGACCTTCTGCACTCTCCGCACGTGAATCCTCCTCCGGACACCTCCTGAAGAGGTTCATCTCTTGATGCACGTGTCACTGAATGTTTCAAGTTCTCCCTCATCAGCATCATCGGAAGGATCAAATTCGGAGGCAATGAACGTCTTCCTTTCGAATGTTTACCTAGGAAGGATACTTTAGAGTTATGATTACGGCAGAGGTTGCACGCATGCACTAAAGCAGAGAATTATCATGCACATTTCACGAATATTGGGTACTAGGTCAATAGATATACACAGATAAAAAAGATTTCTGTGATCAAACAGATCCGGTTTTTTGAAATTGAATTGCTTCGACCGAGGATTTTTCATTCAAATGCACTGACAAATTTGAAGTATCACATCGTTGTCGTCACTGTAACTATGAGAATCTTGGTAGATATGGTTTTGATGAATGCAGATGATGATTACCATAGCACCGAGATATTGGCTGACAGCTATTTGACATGAAATTAGTTGACATTTCGATTTTTGAAAGTTTGATTGAAATTATCGCAATCATCTGTCGAAAGCAGCTGCGATAGTGAGATGTGCGCCACTGATATTTTTGAGTTCTGTATCTTCATAACCTATTGACCAAGCAAAAATACAAACATTTTGGTCTCTTGAATTGTTTCGCTATTTTGCTGCGTTACCGTGGAAAAAAATAAATACCAACTCATTGTACAAAATTGTGCAAAATATTGCTTCAAAAACAGGGGTGAAATTGAATGTGCGATCCATGTCCATGACTTAGAATAAGAATGAAGAATAATTATCTCGATATATTTCATAATATATGTATTCTCGGTCCAGGAAGGCGTAGTTTTCCATAATACAAAGTGTGTCAAACATGTATTATAAAATATTTGAAGAGAATGAATCTCCATTCTTATTCTTCGTCTATGAACATGGATCACACAGTTAATTTCACCCTTGTTCTTGAAGCTATGTTTTGCACAAATCTATTACAATGAATTGGTATTTATTTTTTTCCACGGAAACGCGGAAAAATAGCAAAACAATTCAGGAGATTTTTAGTTAATCATCAGGATATGAAGATGATGAATTCAAAAAAATCAGTGGCGCACATTTTATTGACATTCATATTTGGTAGGGTGCCCCCGGGACGCCACTGGATTTCACAATTCCAATTCAAATTATGGTTGAATCAGCCCCTCATGACGAAGAATATCATTGCCAAATTTCAAGGGAATTGGTGAAAGAATATTCGATATATTCATAAAAAAACTATTTTTTCTAAAAAGTTTAACACACTGTATCTTGAAAACTATGCATTTCCGGACCCAAGTATATAAGAAATGAATTTCATGTTTTCACATGCAGAATCACCCCCTTGATTTTTTGCGCATAATTTCCGGACATCCTGTATATCCTAATTTCCCAACCTGAAGGAATAGTTACTTGTGGACAGGTTCGATGAATCTTCATTTTCGGAAATGAGGCACAATATCTAAATTAAAATACGGTGTACCAGATTAACTTGAAAGGGTTGATATCAAATACATATTATTACTTACTAAGGAAACAAATTCAACAGTGCTGAACTATTGAGGTCTAATTGATCGTTATAAGTTAAATGTCAGAAATGAGTTTGTTGATTTCTGATGATTCAAAATTATTGAGTTTCATTTCTCAATTTTCTACGTGTAGAATTTCGAAACTATCATCAAATCTATGGTTTTCTTCTAACATATGGTTGGCGTATGTTGAATTTGGTTTCTTTTTCAAAAAATTTATCTTATGTTCATGAATGCGCTGAATAAACGTACGACCTGTCTGACCGATATATACCTTAGAACAAGATCCACAGTTGAGTTTGTATATCCCTGATTTTTCGAATTCAGAAGTTTTGTCTTTATTATTCTTGATAAACCTTCCCAACGTGTTATTTATTCTATATATGCTACTATCAAGTCCTGTTTATGTAGAAATGGAGCTAATTTTTCAGTTGATGATTCAAAATAGGTTAAAGTTCTACAATTTTGATTATTATTCTTGATGGTAGGATAAACTTCTTGAGTAGCTTCATTATGGAGTTTTTTAGGAAGAATTATCCTGTTCGCCCAATAGTTTCAATGGAAATGTGTCTCATTGATTTGTTACTCTACATGGTTGCCGAAATAATAGTGTTCGCAACAAGTCCAAAAACAGTTTTTTTGGACTCGCAGACTTCCAGGTCTCGTCTACTGCTCGGCCTAGAATTTTGTCTACTCGTCAAAAAAACAGTATTTTCCGGACTTGTTACGTAAATTACTATTCTGAAACAATATTTTTTCTGTAAGTGATCGGGACACTTGTTGGTATTAACCAAGTCGATATGTATTTTGAGGTCGCTAATCATAACGTGGGTCATCTCACGTAATGACGTATCTCATAAAAATCGGAATCTGAGATACTTCGTCAAGTGATTTATATTCTTGTACTTCATGATCTCACAAAGTGGCGTAACTCAATATTCAATGGTTTTCGTGCAATTGAAAATCTAATACCCAGCCTATCTCAAATTATTGGACTACTGAATCTCACGAAGTGACCTAACTATAGGAGTTACGTCAGTACGTGAGATATATATTTTCATTATGTGTTGAAAATGTCGAAAGTGACGTATCTCACATAGGGTTTGTCGCGGAAATCAAAATATCTTGGGTGACGTATATCAAGGTACTGAAAGGAGGATTGTATACAAGTGGAATGAATTTCTGTGTTTTTATCAATAAAAATGAATATTCAGATCTGTTATTCATTTGAATTCACTCGATATCCGTGGGTGTATCTGAGGCTCCATTAACAAACATGATCTCACGTATAGTGACGTATCTCATAACTTTTTTTTTTTTCGTTTTTGGGGATGCTTTTTCGAAATCTCACCATATCATGACAACTAGTTCCAGTGCTTCCACTGATAAATGAAAAAATAATGATCTTTCATGAACAACCCTCTGAAATATGAGCTAATTAAGATGTTGAAAATCTTTGAACTGCTCTGCTGTGGAATTAGGAAAACTGAGATACGTCACTACGTGAGATGACCGTCGATAAGTGAACACTAAAATAATGCTAAGTTAATGAATACTCACCATTATTATATTATTTTTCTCAGACAAAATCACTTGTTCTGAGCGAACTCATCGATGAAGACAATCTATCAAGTCGATTGGTGCAAGTGACAGCTCACCTGTTGTTAAACATCTTTTCGCCGTTCGGACATCTCCGATATATTATTCGGGTGACCAAGCTCAACGCGACCACTCCCACTGTCCACGGTTTCATTATGATGTTAGCATTTGTGAAGTATACATGCGTTCTCGCTACTACAATAGAATTTCCAAGTCTGACCAACTGCTATATATTATCATATTCGTGGAGATTCTCAGTTTGTGTGCCGCGCTCTGAGCTGTGGGGTATTGAGTTCTTGATCTGTTATTCTTTTGAAAAATATAATGAAATACGAATAACTCTCACCGAACAGTACTCAATGGTTGACATTATATACAGGATTCTATACTCCACTTTCAATGATACTTGAAGTAGGAGAAAGTGACGTTTAATGGGTATATAAGAGTTCATTTCAATTTCACTTTTTCATCTACATCACTGAAGGAAAAAGAGTGTACGAGTGCATCCATCTGATGGACCATTTTTCTCGGCCCTTGATTCTGATATACCCAGTATCCAGTGTCTCAATATTTGTCGTCAGCCTTACCTTTTGGTGACTTCTTGATTCATCATACCTATACAATAAATTCTTTGAATGCACGAGTTTTTGTCTTTTCATGTAGTAGAACATTATATGTTATTTTTCATAGTATGTACCTAGCTAATGACAGGTAAATGAGTCACTAATGATGAGTGAATAAGTCACTGATGACGAGTAAATAAATCAAAAATTCCATGTGATTAGGTCACTAATAACGAGTGAACAAGTCCATGATGACAAGTGAATAAGTCACTAATCGCGAATGAATAAGTCGCTAATGTTGAGTGATTGAGTCACTGATAACAAATGAATACGTCACTAATGCCAAGTGAATAAGTCACTAATGGCAAGTGCTGTGTTCACTAACGGTAATCAATTTAAAATTCAATGGAACAGGTTGAAAGTGGTGGGTATACATTTTCAATTAGCAAATCATCAAAATAGGTTGGTTCAGACCTTTGTATTTTACTTCCATGTTCCACCCAAGTTTTCTCCATTGTGATGAACACATTTTTCTATAATTATTATATTCCAAAAATGAAACCTAGCAGACGAACGGGCATCAACTTCAGATTTTCAAATGGAACACCCTGTATTTCATTTCATGATCGCGTAAGTGATTATGAATACAGATCCAACGATACCAAATTTGATGAGGTTTTCTCAAACGGCTATAGTGATTGATCTTTCAAGATTCTCCAAGAGTGTGACAATGAGTTTTGAATTTTTGCTAGTGAGTAACGAAGATCCGACCCACGCATCACAAAAAAAAAGAGAGGAAAATTTTACAATAATATTGTAGTTTTATTTATTTGGTAATGAAAACTATATAATTATAGTCAATCATAGAAGTCAAATAAATAATATTCACTAAATTTTCATAGCAATTTCATTATAGTGATATTTGCAATTTTTTTTGAGCTATAATTTATACTGCTGTAATCAATCCGTACATATAGTAGGAATATTTATAATTTCTTTTACTGAAGCTATTGGAATTACTTTTATGAAAACATAGTAATATTATATGAATTCTCTATGGATTATTTCTATATTTTTGGGTAATTTTTCGCAGGATGTTTTTTATATAGTTTCTGTAGTAACCAATACATAGGTATTTTTGTTACGATTACCATAATTCCAGTTCTTATACTATGATGTCATGTTAAACGATCGCTATTCGCCGATCATGACATCATAATACAAAGCGATGATCATCGAATCAAAACAGGTTCACAGTCCACGAGAAATGAAGACGTTGACGTGTCGACGCCATCTAATTCACCAGTCTTTTGGTTTGGCAAGTAAAAGGCGGTTGATTCCTTATGTGTAATTTTTGAATACTCTTTAGTCACAAGTCGAAATTAAAAC